TAAAGTCCCCTATTCTCTTTATAAGGAAAAAAGGGGGGTTGAGTGTGTGAGAGAGAGGAAAGGAGGAGGTTGGAGGGGGGAAGGGGGAAGGGAAACAGTTTCACATTCACAAACAAAAATATATATAATATTTATTTTTATAAAAATAAAAACGTAAAGTAAAAATATGTAATAATAATAATAATCTCTTTTTGCTTTTTTTTTAAATGAAAAATTCTCGATTCAACAACCAACCGCGGCCTTCGGCGGCTTTGGTCACCCCCAACGGCGGTTGCGACTAAAATGGAGAGAAAGGCGCGGTTGGCCGACAGCTTTGAATTGTAATAATAATAAAATAAAATTCTGTCCTCAACCCCCCGAGTTTTAATAAATATTTATTTATTTTAGACAATATTTTTATAAAAAAGTAAACAGAAAAATAAATATATAATATTTGTGTTTGTGTGCAAAAAATATATAAATAAATAAATTACAAATTCAAATTATTTTATAGTACTTTTTTTATTTTTTTTAAAAATAGTAAAATATTATAAAATAAAATTAAATTAAAAATACATATTAATTATAAGTTAATCTGCAAAATCTAAAACTTTTATGCCCGACTTGTTCAGTATTATTAAACAGCCCCCCCCCCTCTGTTAAAACTTTCATGTCCAAATTGTTAAAGTATTAATAAGCAACCCCTTTGAACCCTCTAACTCCCCCACCCTCGGTTTCCACCTTCACATTTACAATTTTTTTTATTTTTTTATTTTATACAATTCTTTTTTGAGGTCATAATTGTTAAGAAAGCTCAATTGTTAATAGACGAAAATGAACGATTTTTAAATGTTCATTATTGAAAAATATCAAAATTTCTGACGGCTCGAATTGTTAGTTAAGAGATAATCCGAAAATAAAACAATTGGACTTGAATGGATTTTTATTTTTTTAATTTTTTTAAATTTTTTTCTTTTTAAATTGCAAAAAAACTAAAATATTAAATACAAAAATAAATTTAAGTAAAAAATACTAATAATTATTAAAAGTAATAAAATTCTCGAGAAAAGATCATATTTGGCTCGCTTTTTAAAAAATAAATCTGTAAAAATTTAAATTAAGAAGAGATTTACTATAATATATAGTTATTATAAAATGCAAAAAATATGTACAGGGTGCGGCAAACTTTTGCTGTTTTGAGCATATCTCGCTTCAAACACGACAAAAGTTGATAATTCTTTTTTTTTGTTTTATTCAAAACTTGTTTTATTCAAAACTCTGAGAAAATTTTTGGTACCAAAATCACCTCTAAATTTAACTTCTCTCATCGTTTTAACAAATTTGTTGGATAAAAATTGACCTGGATTAAAGGCTATGATTCTGATATAGAAAATCTATAGGTCATTCGAATCAGCTCCTCATTCTGATTCGAATGACGTGAAAATCAGGCGGCTATAATAAAAATAGCCGACATATGGCCCTTTGAATGATAAATTAAAATAATTTTGCCAAATTTAGAATTTTGGGTGTCGACCGGCTTAACTTTACCATCTGAGAAGCAAATTTCAATTTTTGGTACCAAAAATTTTCTCAAAGAGTTTTGAATTTAATAAAATAATAATTATCAATTTATGTTGGATTTGAAGCGAGATATGGCCAAAACAAAAGGGGCGGCTCTGTATATTAAAAAAACAAAAAATCTAAAGAAGATTGATTATGACTATTTTTAAAAAAATTATTACTAATGTCCACACCAAATGTTATTTTTGTGTTATTATTATTAAAAATAATATATAAACAATCACATCAAGCTTAAATAAACTTACATATTTTTAATAATATAAACAAGTTTATTTTTGTTAAAGAAAAGGAAAGAAAAAGTAAAAATAATAAAGTTTATTTAAGGAAAAATCAAGAGATTGATCTTAATAATAAATTAAGTCTGGAAAAGTTTTGAGTAAAAAATATAATAGGTTTCATAACAAGTTTTATAACAAGTTTATTTAAAGGGTCAACTACAGTAAGTGTTAAAATAATTCCCCTCTCTCAAATAATTACCCCTTAATTTTCCTACACTAATAAATAAAATATTTTATGAGAATCATTGTAAATTTTAATTAAAGGAAGAATTAATATCAAAAAATAAAAATAATTTCGTCCCCAATTACATTGGAATTCAGATTCGCCCAAATCCACCATCCCTTCCCTATTAATCACCCCCTCCAGCGGGATATTGAAACAATAATTACCCAGGGTAATTATTTCAGCATTTTTCGGTAAACAATTACAAATTGGAAAAATAAAAAATAAACTTACAAACTTGATAAAACTTAAAAACTTAAGTTTTCTCAAAAATTTTTGAGAAAACTTGCAAACTTAAGCTTGCTCTTTAAAAATGTGTCAAGTTAAATAAACTTAAAAAATCAAAAATAAGTTTATTAAATAAAAGCTTGATTATTTATAAAATAAATAAAATATATATTTTTAGCATTTTATAAAATATAAAACTTGGAGGGGGACGCTTTTAAAATAAAAATAAATAAACAGCTGTTATATTCTTTTTTATTTTACTTATTTTTATTTTTTGTTGTTTTTAAAAAATAAAATAAATGAAAAGCAATAAATAAAATAAATATTTATTTATAAATTAAATGATTGAAAAATGATATGAGGAAAATTTAAAAAAAAATAAAATAATCATATGACTCACAAGGGAACATTCCGAACTGTGACCAAAATTTTTTCGATAAAAATTATACCATCGTGTAGAGCATGGTCGATAGCCTATCCCTATATATTTCTTTTTTGGCCCTGACCCCCATTTCGAAAAGTTATGGGGCTTCAAAGTTTTAGACTTTTGGAGCGGTTGAGTCGCCCCCACTTTTCTTATTATTTGTCTTCCTAAAGGGAAAAATAAGACTCCTTTTCTCCATTTTTCCTTTCCTTTTCTTTTCCCATGTTGGTTAAAGAAAGAGAACAAGAGGAGAGAAAAGGAAAAGAAAAGAGCATCTCTGCCTTGCGGCTAATTTCAATTAAAAAGGAAAGAGGAGGAGGCAGAGATGCCTCTTTTCCTTTTCTTTTCTCTCCTCTTTTTCTCTTTCTTTAACTAATATTGGAAAAGAAAAGGAAAGGAAAAATGGAGAAAAGGAGTCTTATTTTTCTCCTTAATAAAAGAAAATTCTCTCTTTATGAGGGCGACTCAACCGCTCCAAAAGTCTAAAACTTTGAAGCCCCATAACTTTTCGAAATGGGGGTCAGGGCCAAAAAAGAAATATATAGGGATAGGCTATCGACCATGCTCTACACGATGGTATAATTTTTATCGAAAAATTTTTGGTCACAGTTCGGAATGTTCCCTTGTCAGCTAAATAATTTTAAAATGACTAGAGGAGGTAGTTTATATGTAAATATTATTTTTTATTTACTGAATAATTTTTAAATGGCATGAGTGGCTTTAAATTAGCCAGTGGGCAGAAATAATAAATTTTATTAAATAAACACATTTATATTATTCAAATTTGTTTGAGACGTTAAAGCCAGAAAATAAATTTTAAAAAAATTTATTTTAATTCTAAAAATAAATAAAAATATTAATTTAAAAACACAGCCCCTACAAAATTATAAAAGTAGGGAGACATATCGGGATTGACAAAAATAACCTTTCGCATGTTTACGTTGGTTCAAAAACATGCTATCTTTCTCAATAGGGCAATGTACTATCCAAGACTCCGTGGCCGTAGGTCCCAAAATCAGTAGGGTCACTGTTCGTACCTTGAAATATCCCGATATGTTCGTCACGATATGTCTGGCTCCAAAATTAAAAAACATTTATTTAAAATATATTCAAAACCTAATGACTCTTAGGAAATTTCATAAAAACTCGCTGAACTCAGTAAAACTCAAACATTAAAAAAATTTTTATAACAATTTGGATAATATATTTAGTATTTATTTTTATATAGGTAAACTCTCTCATTTTAGCAACATAATAACAAAAAAATAATTTTAATGTCTGTAAAAATTTCTAAAAAAATTTCAAAATTTATTTCTCAAAATTAAAACAAAAAGCTAAATAAACAAATTTATTTTTAAATCAAAAATATATTCTCTCTCCCTTTATTTTATTTATTTTTTCTCTTTCTCTTTATATCCTAATTCTATATTTAGATTATTTTTTAAATATTTTTTTCGAGGATTTGAAATAAAAATAAAATTTAATATGCACTTTTTTAATTTTTTTAAATTGTTTCCAAAAATATTTAATAATACATAGGTAATTTAATTTAATGAAATTTAAAAAATTACAAAATAAATACAAAGGAAATGTTTGTGAATTTATTTTAACAAAAAAATAATATAACAATACAGTCTTTGTTAACAAAATTTTTTTTAATTTTTTAAGTATATGTTAGAATTAAATATCTATCATAAAATTACCAAACAAATTAAATAAAACTTCAATTAAAATCTATAAATCAGTAAAGCTTAAAGATAATGGAACAACAATTTAATCAGACCTTTTTAATTAAAAAGAAACAAATCCCAGTCAATAGAAAAACGAAAAGAAGCAAGTATGGGACGCACAAAGCCATGACTTGCTGGAGAATTTCTGGACTTTATCAATTTTGGTACCAATTTCCTTAACTGGATGAGAATTTGGTAGGATACTGAAATCCTGATGCAAATTCTGGCTTTGCACCGTTATATCCCGCGCCACAATTTGGACGTGTCCCGAATTTCTCATATCTTGAAAAATGGAAATCACAATTTAAAAGAAAAGAGAAAAGAAACAAATAAATAGGCAGGATCTCAATTGTATGTACACCCTTTAGGGATGAAAGTGTATGTAATAGGCCTTCCCCCTCTTCCCAGCTATTATGTGGCCTAATCAATTTTTAAAAATTGTACGTACAAAAGTGTACATAAATTTAGGAGGTATACATACAATTATAGAACTTTATATTTCGTAATCCAAAAATTTTTTAATTCAATAAAAAAATAAATCCAAAAATTTATTTATTTCAGGTTTCTTTAGTTTCTGCCAAAAAGGCCCCAATTAAATTACAAAATTTAATTTCAAAAAATTTGTCAGAAAAAATTAAAGCTTTACGACGTGCTGCTTCACGAATATCTTTTCGATCTTGTACATTCATTTTTGTAATTATTTTAAGAATAATATTTACATATTCTTTAAAATTTTGAATAAAAATTATTTTCTTAAGAATTTATTTTTTTACCTTCTCTTGTAGAAGCTAAAAATCCACATTTTTCAAAATATTCCTCATCAACTTTATTTAAATTTTCATTTCCAATAATATCCAATGCAGGGCCACCTTTAGAAAAATTATCATAAAAATCGAGTTTAAAAAATTTAATTTAAAAATTTTAAAATGATGCTAAATTCATTAAATACTCAAAATATTTTATAAAAAATAAGTTTGGGAATTTTGAAGGTCGTAAGCGAAAAATTTCATTTTCCAGAAGCTACGCCCTTGGTACAAGGTACGAGTAAGAATTTTTTCTAGCACTGATTTCTGCATAAAATTAGTATATAATCTTTCAAAATTTTTTCTAAAAATCCACCAGAATTGTGTGCAACCATAATAACTCCAGCAGCCATTCCCTCAACCACAGAAATTCCAAAATGTTCATTCCACATTGTATGTAACCCAATTAGTGAATTCTTTTAAAAAGAATTTTTTAAATAAAAATTTTTAAAAATTACTTTCATTAATTCCAACAATCTCTCAAAATCAATATTTAATTCCCATTCAATTTCATCCCCAGTTTTCATCCCCAAATGTTTTTTGGCATAATTTTGTAAAAATTCAACACGTTTTGTATCCTCTTCATTTCGACAACCTCCGGCAATAATTAATTTTACCTTTTTTGAAATTTAATTTTAAATTTAAAACAATTTCTTACATTAATATTAATTTTTTGTTCTAAAAGTAATCTCCTCACATCAGCAAAAATTCGTAATTGCTAATTAAAAAAATGTTTTTAATAAAATAAATTATAAAATAGATTTATGGAGGAAAGAAATTCAAATAAAAAATAAATTTTATTCAAATAAAAAATAAATTTTAAATTTTTTTGGCAAGAAATTCATTTGACTTTTAAAATCAGAATTATGTTTGTAATTTCGTTTTTAATTATCCAAAAATTTATTTAATTAATTTTTAAATTAGCAAAAAAAAAATTTTCAAAAAAATTTCAACGGAAATATTTAGAGAGAAATGTAAAAATATTTAAAAAAATAATCTCAATATTTTCCCCCAATTTAAAGTAAAAATTATTTAAATACCTCAAGATGATTCTTTTCTGGCCTAATTTGGCCTACCGAAATTATTGAAACTTCAAACTTTTTTTCTCCGTTATTTTCTAATTTATATTCAGAATTATTCTCCAATTCTAAAAGTCTTTCAACATTGCAAGGGGGAAATACAATTTTTGGTTTGATTGACCAAAGTTGTTCGATATGTGAAGCTGTCCAACTTAAATAAAAAATTTTAGAAAGATGACTGATATTTTTCCGAAACCCTCAAAAAATTATAAAAATTAAAATCTAAAAGTATCCTCAAAAATTTAATAATTGATCGAGATAGAAAAAATCCAAAGATGACACTTGGACCCTATACCCATTTTTGTTAAAATAAAGAAAAACCTTCCATTTGCCATAGTTAATTGAGAACAACTTCCACAACTTTTATAAATTAATGCAACGATTCGATAATAAATTAATTTTAATTTAGTTAAGAAAAAACTAGAAGAAATTGTAGAGGAATTGTTGTAGGTTGGTGTTCTTGAATCTACTAATTGAATCATTTCTGAAAAATTAAAAAATAAAAATTTATTTGAGTGAAGTTTAAATATAAAAAAACAAAAATTATTTAATTAAATTAATTTTAATAAAGGTCAACTAAACTCAAATTGTTAAAAGCCCAACTAGGTATTTTATTTAATCCTATCACAAAAAATAAAAAATTTTTGTGGATGTTTTTATTTAATTTTTAAAAATTTTACAAAAATTAAAATTTAAAAAAAAACCAGTTGTAATTGTTGGATAATGAACATAACAAAGAGTTTTTGCACCTCCCAACCAATAAAATAAAGGTAAAGTCAAAGGACATCCAGTAGTGTCCATAAACCTTAAAAATTAATTTTTAAAATTTAAAAAAATCAAAAAAAACCATTCAGGACAAAATCTCCACAAAGCTTCAAAGCCAACAATTAACCCAGCAAATAATTGGGCAATTAAAGTAAAACGGGGATAGTTTTTAGCTTCCAACAACCATCGTGATCGAAGAAAAATAAATTGGAGGCGATTGGTTGGAACAGAAATTCCAAAACGAGAATTAACCTAAAAAGGGAAAGAAAATAAATTAGGAAAATTGACAAAAAATGGACCCAGAATATTTAACAATATTTGGATAAACCCTCTAACAAAATCCAACTAGACCCCACGCTCACATAACAACAGATTATATGTACATATTCTTCTCCGGAATCGCAAATTTGGCCGGAACCCGAACTGAATGACCGGAACCAAAAAACCCCGGTACTTCCAGCGAAGCTCTAGTACATATTAAACAATTTAACGCAAAAAAAAACCTTTTTAAGAATTTCCTGTGGTGTTCTATCAATATCACCAGTATAAACAATAAAATTCAAATCAGGAAAACTAAAATTAAAAAATTTCTTAATAGAATTTAATTAATGAAAAATAATCTTTTAATCATTTAAAAGTATTTTCATCAAAAAAATTTAATTAAAAAAATTTTTTTTAATTACCTTTGATGCATAGCATTTAAAGCCAACCAAAGCACCCTTTCACCTCCTCCACAAGCATCACAATAAGGATGGAAGAAAGCAAATGTGTCAGAAATTCTTTTAAAAAATAAATTTAATTTGAAAAAAAATTAAAAATAAATAAACCTATTCCTTCGAATGTAGAGAAAAAGTAAATAAATAAAAATTAATAAAATAATAAAAGGAATTAAAATAGGAAAAGGCATTCTTTTATTTTAAGCTGAAAAAATTTATTTAAAAAATATTAAAAATAAAAAATTGAGTTTTAATTAAATTCTGTTTATATTTTCGTTATTAAATCAGAACTTTAAATAAAAAAAATATTCAAGTTATTTTTACAAACTTTAAAAAAATTTCAAAAATAAATTTAATAATTTATTCAATTTTTAACCTCCATAAGGAAAGTAATTAAAATGTTAATTAATACTTTCCCCAAAATTATTAACAAAACAAAACTTTTTTTTGTAATTAAGTAGTGTTTAACATGTTTTTGGAATGAAAAGAAATACCTTTGGAATAAAATATTTGGATATTTAAAAAAAGACAGCAAAATTAAGGCAAATGATAAAAAAACATTACCAACTATTTTTTAATAGTTGGTAATATTTTTTAATTTTTATAATTAATTAATTCCTTTCTTGTAAATTTTTATAAAATTCGTCATTATTAAAGTTGGTTATGTTCGAAAGATTAAAGGTGTTTTTCCAACCCCAGGTAGTTTGAATATTTCAAAAATTATTTAATATCTGAAATCATGATACTCTATAACAATATTTGAAAAGACTAAAATTGAATTTTGGATAGGTTTTGGATTGATTTGAGCAGCTTATTTGTTAATTTATCCTTTTTTGTTTGATTTTTTTGGAAAATTGAACGAAAGTTCCACTACTCTGAATAAAAAGATTAAAGGAATAAAGGGATAATACCCAAAACTATCAAAATTTTTTACCAAATAAAATACAAAAATTTAAGTAAAACCCCCCATTAAAAATGTTATAAACCCCAAAAAAAGATAAAATAATTTTAAATAAAAATTCTTTACAAAAATAAACAGAAAAAAAAGAATTTCATTTTTGAATTAATAAAATGTGTCTTTTGTATTGTCGGGAAGCTAACATAAATAAGAGCACAATGTTTAAGAAAAAAATAATATGCATTTTATCTCCATTTTTTAAAATCCAAAACATTTTTATAAACAAAATTTAAAGAATCATAAACAAAAAATGGAAATAAAAATCCCTCAACAATCATAACAACAATAATTTTTTGTTGAGGTGTTATGGATGGACGGATATATTTTTTTATTTTATTTTCTAGTCAAAAGCGCGTTACAAGAAAAAAAAGCGTTAAAAAGGGAGGAAGAAAATTGTGTGAAATGTTTATTTTTTAATTCATTTAATTTGTTGTTGAAATGTTGTTTTTTATTTAATTTGATATGCTTTTATTATTTATTTTGAGATGCTTCAACTCTCCGACGTAAGTCGGAGAGTTCTCCATTCATTTCAGAAAATCGTCGATTACATTCTTCGGCAAAACGATCAAAATCAGCACGAGAAACCCATTGAGAAGATGAAGGAGTTGTTTGAGATAAAGATATTCCTCCACCCGTTGCAGATTCTGGTGACGAAGATAGTGGAATTGTTGACATTTCTTTTGTTGTTGATGTTGTATTGAGTGAAATTGAAGGAACCTAAAAAGAAATTTTAGAAATAATTAAATTAAGGTATTTTACATGGCTAGAAATTAAAGTAGTTTTTGGTGGCTGAAAACTAATTCTTTCTGCAAGTGGCACATAACGATGCTGAGATTGGCTAGTTTCTTCTCCAGCTTTTTAAAAATAAAAAATAAATTTTTTGAAGAAAAAATTAAAATTAATTACAACTAGCTGAAAAAACACTTGTAGTTTTAATATTATTATTTATTCCTGTTGCTGTTGTAGGACTTGAAGTAGAAGATTGTGTTGTTTTAGAAGTACTAGTAAATGTTGGTGATGACATTTCTAATATTTTTGTATCGGTGTTATTGTCAAATGAATCTCTTGTATTTTCAGCTAATAAAGCAGCAGAATTCTTAAAATAAAAAAAGAGCAAATATTCAAAGAATTAAATTGATCTAAATTGTCGATAAGTTTAAGAAAAAATGTAAATATACATTTTTTAAACTATATACAACACCGTTCAGAAGAAATAAAATAAAAAGATAAATTAATATAAAAAGTTAATTTATGACTCATTCAATTAGTATTTTGTTGCGCATTTAGATGTAAAAGAAAAAGTTTTGTTTAAAAAAATTAACAAAAGTTGCGAGTTTTTTCTAATTTATATAATTTGTTAGTTAAGTAATGAAAAAGGATGCGTTGTAAAAAAATTTCCGATTATGACGCAGGAAAGTTTGACAAAACTAGAGCTCAATATTTAATTTTTTAAATTAAGAGTCCTAAATTCCGTATGAACCCTAAATCCGAAAGAGTTTAGCGCCCAACTTTTCGGAAATCCTGAAACCAGAGCTCAAATTTCCTAAACTCACACATCAGCAATTTTATGGAAACAAGGATGTAAAAAAATTTTAATTTCCTCACCACTTTAGAAGGCGGACGTTTATTTGACGGTACAATTTTTGTCCGTGCAGTAACAATTGAAGAAGAAGCCAATAATTTATTATTATTTTGTTGTTTATTTATTCCCCCACCACCACCAATATTATTATCAAAATCAGTCATTTTTGGTTCAACATTTGCCGAAGCTTCTGCCAATTTTCCTCCACTAATAATTGTAGAATTACGTTGAGAGCCTGGTTGTTGTAAAGGCAATTTCCCTCCAGGAAATAATATTTTTTGCATTCCAGCAATCATTGAATGACGATTTCCAGGCGTATTATTAGAAGAAGAGATTATATTTTGTGTTGCTGCATTTGTTGGACTAATATTATTATTTTCTGCATCATTTGAAAGAGAAATTGCAGAAGTTGTCATTAATTTATCTGTGCCTGTATCTGTTGGTGTTTTTGCTTCAGATGACATATTTGGTTGCTTTGTTGTTGAATCTTTAAAAAAATTATTTTTATAAAAACATTTTATGATTAAACTAAAAATCATCCAAAATAGGAAAAATCATAAAAGAATTCAAAACATTAGTCAAAAAAATAATTTTAGAAAGAATTTCCCTATTTTTGTGTATATTTTTATATTAAAAGGAAAAAGATTCATAACCAAAAACAATCTAAAAATGATAAGGAAATAAAGAAAAGAGCCTAAAATTGACCCGATATAAAAAACAAATATTTTGTTGTACTGATTTTTTCACATGTTATACTAGTAATTCCTTAATTTGAAAATTAAAAAGAAAATATGATTGAACCTTAACTTTTCCTTAACTCCAAATTAGAAATGTCAGATCCCAACATTAAATTAAATCTAAAAATGTAAATACCTCCAAATAAAGAGTCCCGAACAAATGCCACAGGTTGAGAATGACCATGTGTTGAAGCATTAAATTTTTGTGGCTTTGCCGGAAGAGAAGGTGGCTGATGTGAAATTTGTGAACTTTGAATATTGATTGCAGATTCAGACGGCAAGAATTTAACAAAATTATCAGGAAATAATCCTCTACGGCCATCCGGAGCTTCAGCGATAAACCAGCCTTCGTCTTCGCATTGACGATTAATAACGGTAACAAGAGTTCCTTCTGGCAAACTAAGTTCATCGGGAGCAGCAGCATCATATTTGTACAAAACTTTAGCCATATCTAGATTTAAAAAATATTTTGTTTACTTTTGGAACAAGGGGTTATATAAAATTCATTAGAAAAAAAACATCCTTCAACCTTTATCAGCTAAAGGCGCAAATGAATGAGAATTTGAAGCATTTTCAGTCATCAACGTTGATGTAACTCTTCGTGCACACATTTCTCCTGTCCGGCTACCAACCGTACCTCCCCTGAGAAGACTTGAAGGCAAAACATTTCCCGTGTGTAAAACGCCGGGGCTTGATGTAACAGTTGTGGCACCATTGCCTAACGAGGAAAAATTGTTTCCTACCCCTCCAATCACAGTTGGCTTTGGTGCTGATGAAGAAAGTTGATGGGCACTAACCCCGCTAATTAACGTGGAATGGGAATTCTCTTGATGCGATTTGTCTAAAAAACCAAAAATGAATTCAATAAAAAGCAAAATGCAAACCATGTGAGGAGTCAACAGATCGTGGGAATGTAGATGAAGGGCTGCTCAAAACAGCTGAAAATTAAAAAATAATATTAATTTTGCAAACAAATTTTAAATACGAGGAATTTGTTTAGAAGGTGTTGCAGAGGAAGTAGAGACAAAATTAGTAGGATATAGTCCGACAAGTCCTTTCCTTCCAGGATTATTTGGAGAATTAATAATTTCGCCACGAGCCCAACCATCTTCTGTATGAGCCAAAACAGCTAATTCATCGCCTTCTTTTAAATCCAATTCGTCTGGTTGTTGTGCAGCATAAGAAAAGCGAACGACAGCAGTTTCTGTTGAATGGAAGGGAAGACCAAATCCGGACGTTGATGTATTAAGTGCTGAAAATATTTTTGAAACCTACAAAATAATTTTAAAAAACCTCTATTCCTCAATGGAACATTTTCCAATTTTGTCGAAACCATTGTAGAATTCCCCAAGCCAGACCCATAATCTTTGCTTAATCTGTCAACAATACGTGCAACATTTCCTTTTTCACACTTTAAAAAAATTATTTAATGCTTTAATTAAATAAAAGAAAATAAACCGATTTCTGTTCACTGTTCATTTTGTGTTTGTTTATAATTAAAATAATTTTTTCTTTCAAAATTTAATTGTTATTTTTTATTTAATATTTGTTATACTAGCTACTATGTTAAAATCTGAAATGAAAATTTTTTTAGAGATTACAGTTAAATAGGTAAACAAAATAATTAAAAATCCCCCCCCCCCCCCCCATAAAAAAGAAAACCACCAACCCTTTTTCAAGTCTTATCAAACCCAAGCCTATAGAACCCTCACATTTTAAAATAAAAAAGTCTTTCCCTAAATGTTTTTAACAATACAATTTAAAAATTCACAAAAGTGGCCACCTTGTGAAAGAGAGGGAGTGCTTACTCAGCAGAGAAAAACAGCAAATATAAAAACATTTTCATTGCAAAATACGCTTTTTAAAGAAATATGAGTCATATGTAAAAAGATTAAAAAAAGTTCAGGAGCGTCATCGTATAATTATTTTAAGAAATTGCCCTTATGAACTAAATGTACATAATTTGAAAAATAAAATTTTGGCAAAATGTTTTTTATCAAAAAATTTTTTTAATTGATTTTTTGATTTACCCTAAAATTTTAAAAAATTCACTTTTCCCATGCTCGCTATTTGGAAATCAGTCCGTGCCGGGTTAAAAACTAATAGTAAGTGTAAGAAGAGCCGATTTAGTAGATAAGATCGTGGACAAAACGTCACCTCTCTCCAATTTTTCCGTGCCCGCTCAAAACATCAAACGCTTAAAATATCTAGACGACTAAAAACGCTCAAAATATCTAGACGGGTAAAAACGCTCAAAACATCTAGACGACTAAAAAGGCTCAAAATATATTCGCTCAAAACATCAAACGCTCAAAATATCAAAATATATTTTTTCATTTAAACTAGAGCTAGGAATTTTGAAAAAACCGGGACCGGGTCCGGGAAACGGGTTCTGAAAAATGGACCGGGCGGGAACCGGGTCCGGGAAACCGGGAAAACCCGTTCCCGGTTTCAACCCGGTCAAAAATGACCGGGTCCCGGCCGGGAAACCGGGAAATTTTTAATTTGTTGAAATAGGGGTCTATTTTTCCACATAGGGCTGTATTTTTCATCTATTCTCCTATACTTATTCTAAATAACCTCTATTAATGTAAGTGAATGCCATTCACGATTATTTAACTCAAGATCGAATTCCCTTTTCTGAAAAATACGTTCATCGACTGCTGCCTTTTGTTCTTTCGTACTTGGGATTAATGAAAAAATTCAAAGAAATATGTACTACATATGTTTAAATTCTTTCTAAAGCCCTTATATGTTGGCCGAGTGGTTGTTATGTGTTAGTTCCTTCAGAATGTTAGTTCCTTTTAATTCCTTCAGAATCCTTAGATATCCCTTTTAATTCTTTTTAATCTTATTGAACTAAAAATTCTTCGCGCCATTTTTTGCGCCGTAGGCGAAAATTTTGAGAATTTTGATAGGCCTTAGCAGAAAAGAATTCAATTGTCAGAGCTGCCGGCGAAAAAATTTTTCGAAGTTTAGATGGTAATGAAGCCAGAACTCTTAAATTTTCTGCGCCACAGTGAAAATTTTGGAAAATTCATGATTTAATTGAAATTTCTAAGATTTTTTCAAGATTAAAACAGTAAAAAAATTTTCAAATTTAAAATCAAAGTTTAAAATTATTTATTTTTGAAAAGAAAATTTTCTCAGCCCCATTTCCATACATGGACTCGAACCCCATCCCTATCAAAATAACTAGATGAGTGAAGTCAGTCAACTTAACCACTCAACCATCGACCGACAAAAGCAAAATGGAGAAATTATAAATATTCCTTTCCCTTTTCCTTCAAAAATTTAATATCAAAGTACGCAAATACACTAAATATTTTTCCCGGTTTTCCGGTGAAAAAAAATCCGGGACCGGGTCCGGGTAACGGGTTTTGAAAAATGGACCGGGCGGGAACCGGGTCCGGGAAACCGGGAAAACCCGTTCCCGGTTTCAACCCGGTTGCTTCAAAAAAACCGGGAAAAGGGACCCGGAAACCGGGAAACGGGTCCGGGTCCCGGACCCGTTCCTAGCTCTAATTTAAACTGTCCCCTTTAAATTTTAGAGGGGACAGTTGAGTCCGCGGAAAAAAGTTTTTGCCGCTGCGGAGGAAGCCGGGCATGTCGAGCGGAACGACGGCCGCCGCTTCGCTACGGTCGCCGCGAGCGAAGCGAGCACGACCGCAGCGAAGCACGGCCATCGTGTAGCGAAGACCATGCCCGGCCTACCCTCCGTAGCAGCACAAAAACAGTTTTTCCAGCGAAGATTCAGTTGGTCATAACTTTGTTCACAATCATCCAATTGAGCTGTTTTTTGTGTCATTCAACTCAGCTCGTCGAGCCCTTTCTCAACACGTCGAGTTCATGCAAAATTGGTCCTGAGATACTACATTATTCACCCCTGATACAAGGAAGAAATATTGGACTCAACTGTCCCTTTTAATCAAAAAATATTTTGATATTTTGAGCCTTTTTAGCCGTCTAGATATTTTGAGCGTTTGATGTTTTGAGCGAATATATTTTGAGCCTTTTAAGTCGTCTAGATGTTTTGAGCGTTTGCTGTTTTAAAAAAATATGTTTTGTAGGGTAGCCAATTTTTCATTTCTCTCTAGTCTTCTGCCATCTAAAAGATTTTTTTGTTTTCAATCGATTAACATTAAACTATTAATTGATGCGCAGTAGATTAAAAATAAAGGCAAATGAGATTCATCAACTCAGTCTGCTGACATTTAGAGCAAACATAAAAGCTATTTAATTAAATGTTGGTTAATACAACTCTTCAAAATTTTCTCTTTTTCATTTTTTAATTTACTAACTGACAAATAAATAAATGATCTTTTTTTAATTATAAATTTTCAGTTTTATATTTTAATTAAAAAAATGTCGGCTTCTAACGGAACTTCTCTGATTCGACAGAATTTTTCTGCTGATTGTGAGGCTGCTATTAATAAACAAATAAATATTGAACTTTATGCTAGTTATGTTTATTTGAGCATGGTTTGGAATTTGTGAAATAATTTCTAATAAATCTTTCAATTTAAGAGCTTTCACTTTGACCGTTCTGACGTTGCTTTGCCTAATTTGGCCAAATGGTTTCGAAAACAGTCGGATGAGGAGCGCGGACATGCCACTACTTTGATGGCTTATCAGGTTGTTTTTAGTAGGGCTTTTCGCTTTTTGTTACGAATTTGAGTCATAAAAATTAATTTTAGAATACTCGTGGTGGACGTGTTATTCTTCAGAATGTTCAGGTACTTTTTTATTTTTTTTCTTAAAAATTATTTTTGTATATAGAAGCCAGAGAAGGATGATTGGGGCACTGCACTTGGAGCTTTTGAAGCCGCTTTGGCACTTGAAAAGTTCAACAACCAGGCTTTGCTTGAACTTCATAGTCTTTCTTCGCAAAATAATGATCCACAGGTTTCCTTTAAATATTTTAAATAAATTTTTTTTAAATTTATTTTTAGATGTGTGACTTTCTGGAGGACAAGTATTTGCGTGAACAAGTGGAGTCTATCGAAGAAATTGGGTTTGCTATTTTTATTTTTCTTACCTTTTACTTTCCGTTTATTTTTGAATTTAAAATTATTTTTCACTTTTGGTTGAACAATTTTTGTAGTAAAATTATTTCTAGCAAGATCATCACGAATTTGAAGCGAGTTGGAACTGGTCTGGGGGAATTTATGTTTGACAAGGAATTTGACTCTTAAATGCAACGAAATGACATAATTAAAGAAAGGCAGCGTAATTAAAAAGAAAATAAGCATGTTATTTTTTAAGTAAACGTAAATATATTTTAATTTTCCTCTTTTTGGACTTTTCCTATGGAAATTTATTTAATTTTGCATTTTTACATTCTGGCAAGTTTTTTGTATTTGTTTTCGGCATTTCTTTAAAATTATTTTTGAGACATGTAAAATTTATTTTTTAAATATTAAGAAAAATTATTCTCTCAAATGCCGAAAATTTTAAGAAATTCCTACATCGTATATATTTCTTATCTCAATGCGGAATGTGGCATTTATATCTTTTATTTAACTTGATAAAGATTAAAGTGGTTTTTCGATAATTTTAAATAAAATTTTAATTATTTAATTTTATTTATTAAAAGATTTTAGTTGGGTTATATTTTTTATATTGTTTATGAGATCTGAAATGGCATCAAATAGTGATCGACAATTGTGTGTAGCTTTCGATGAGGTTTGTTTTTTAGATTTTTTTGGGTTCGTTAGGATGAGTAGGGTAGTCGCTTTCGAGTCGTGCCCACGGTCGAGGCATTTTTGGCCTTGTTTTTATTGAGGCGGGCCGGTACGAGTCACTTTCGGGCCTGAATATCTTATAGAATAGTTAGGCCCGACTCGATCCTTCGGTCCATTTTAGCAACTAATGGTGAGGGTTATTTTTAAGATTGTACAATTTCACTTTTAATTTCTTTCCCTTGATAGAGTCCACCGTCAATGGTACGCAATGTTTGTATTATAGCTCATGTGGACCATGGTAAAACTACACTTGCCGACTATTTAGTTTCTGCTAATGGAATTATTTCTGGTATATTTTTACTAAAATTTAAAAGATTTTTTAAAAATTTTTAGCCCGGCTAGCCGGTAAACTCCGTTATATGGATAGCCGTGAGGATGAACAAATACGAGGGATTACTATGAAATCAAGTGCTATTACTCTTTATTATGAACCTTTATTAATAAATTTGATCGATAGGTTTCATAAAATGAATATTAAAATTTTTTGTTTTTAGCCCCGGTCACGTCGATTTTTGCAATGAAGTTAGTTCTGCTGTAAATTTAGCTGATGTTGGCATTCTTCTTGTTGACGTGGTTGAAGGTGTTTGTGCTCAAACTGAATCACTTATACGTTTGGCATTAATCAAAAAATTAGACATAATTCTTGTGCTTAACAAAATTGATAGGTTTTATTCATTTTATTAATTTAAGTATATTCTAATTTTCAGATTAATTGTTGAACTTAAAATGTCTGAAACAGAAGCACATAAACATTTACAACAACTTATTGAATTTATGAATGCCTGTCTTTCAAAAGCTATTCAAGGTCAATTATTTGAAGAAGATTGGAAAATATTTGATCTGGTTTGTGAATTACTTTTAGAAATTTTTATGAATCTTCTAATTAGGTAGAGGCCAAGATGCATTTTGATCCATCTAAAGGAAATGTTTTATTCGCTTCAGCACTTTATGGCTATGCTTTTGCAATCGAAGATTTTGCCGAACTATGGGCTAAACGTTTAGTTGCTAGACAAACATGGCAATCAGAAGAAACAAATAAAAACAAGAGGATGGACGTTAAGGTTTTGATTCTTTGAAATCGTGAATAAAAAAATATTTTTAAGACAGAAATATCTGAATTAAGAACTCAATTAGCTCAACATCTCTTTTCTAGAGACCATTATTTTTCAACTAAAACAAACAAAATCTGTTCTGGTGCTGAACAGAAGGATAAGAAAACTATGTTTGGTGAGTAATTTTTATTTTTTTATGAAAATTAGTTTTAGATCAATTTGTCCTTGAACCTCTTTGGGAAGTTCATAAATGCGCACTTTTGGACAAAACAGTGGATAAGTTAAGTCAAATTGCTTCCAAGTTGTCTTTGCCGAGTTTAAAAAGTCGAAGAGGAGATGAGGTTTTATTTTAATTTAGAATTTTTTGAATATTTCCCATAAAAATATTTTTAAGGCCTTCCCAGAATTAATGCGTAATTGGCTCCCATTGAGTTCGGCAATTGTTCGTGCTTGTGCTAGAAGTTGTTCAGCACAAAATGCTTATAAAATGCCACAAAACGACTCTTTGTCAGATTGGAATAGGATTCGAGATTTGTTTGTTCAAAATGATGGAGATGTTGGCACTTTAGTAGGTGGCCATTTTTATTAATTTAAGGTAGTGATTAGTGTTAAAAAATTATTTTTGAAATTGTTTTGTAAAGTTTCTGACAGATCTTCAATAAAAATAATAATAATTATCCTAATTTTAAATAATTTTTATTTTTCTAGATAAAACCCAATTATCTACTTCTTTGCCATATACAGCTAATTGTCTAAGCAAATGTGATCCAAAAGACCCATTAGTGATAGGATTTGTTGCTAAAGCTTTTGCCGCATCTGATCAGATTCAGATTCAACGTCGTATTTCTCTTTGCCGAGTAATGTGTGGAACTTTAAGAAAAGGTATTAATTATACTTATGGAATGTTAAAATATTTTAATTTTGACAGGCGATCAAATTTTTGTTTTTAAATCCTTACAAAATGCTAAAATCACTCAAACTGCACAGTCTCGACCAGAAGAAAATGATTGTTGGCGTGAGTTCACAGTTACTGCTTTATTTATTTTATTTGGTCGGGATCTTCTTGAAGTTGAACGTATTCCTTGTGGACGCATCTGTGGAGTTGAAGTTAATGGGGGAGAGTGGATTGGGGGTATTTTTCTAAAAAAAAAAATAATTTTTTAAACTTAAATTTCTAAGGTTCTTTGTTTAGCAATCGCCAATTATCTCCTTCAGAAATCCCCCATATGGAAGGAGCTAAACAACTTGGAAAATTTTCCGATCCGATTGTTCGAGTCACAATAAAACCAGCAATATCTGGGCCGGCAGAATTTGCTGAATTACGGGCTGCTCTTCGACAATTAGCAGTTTTAGATTCAGCAGTTAGTATAGTTGAGCAGAAGGAAAATGAATTTTTGATGTTAACTGCTGGAGAGGTACATTTACAAAAATGTATTGAGGTATGAAATTTTGAGAGGAATGAAAAATATTTTTTTATTAAAAGGATCTTAACTCGCTTGGTCAGACAGATTTAGTTGTTTCTGAACCAATTGTTCCTTTTCTTGAAACTTTGGTTGTTCCTGATCAACGTTTATCACACGCAAAAATACTCACTGATCACCTTACAGTAATTAAATAACAATAAATTTCCAAACTTGTTTTAATCAAAGGAATGTTTTATGCCTCAATTTGGTCTGAGGATACGTTTGAGAGCCGTCCCATTAACTGGACTAGAACCAGAAACTAATAAACTTTTTGAATTGATGGAACGTAATAGTCAACTCATTGATTCTCTTAAAGAAGGTGAATTAAAATTTTCTTATTTAAAAGTATATTTTCAAATTTAAGGCATTTCTAATCTTCAACATCGTTCTAAAATTGAAGCTTTTCGTTTAGAATTAGCAGAACAAGCAAGTATTAGTCTTCCTAAACTTCGTGGGTCTTGGTGGGCAAAGAAGCCTTCCGTACAAATTCGACAACTTTTTACTGAAAATATTCTTGCTTTTGGACCAACAAAAGCTCGATTAAATATTCTTTTCAATAACAATGCTTTACCTTTTTATAATAATGAAGATAATGAAAATAATAATAAAATGAACAGAGATTCTGAACAGAAGGAAGGAAATACAGCGTCTATTAGAGAAGGTCGTTTAATAATACACTTTTCGTTTATCATAAAAATTTTGCAGCTAATCTCAGTCCATTGGAACAAGCACTAGTAGGAGGTTTCCATATTGCAATGGCTCAAGGCCCTCTCTGTGATGAACCTATGCAAGCAATTGGTATTATAATTGAGAATTGGATATTAGAAGATAAAACTGAAAGAAATAATGTTGAAGTAGAGGATACAAAAAATGAAGAAGAAACGAGAAATTTAGTTGAAGATGATGATGAAAATGATAAAAGGATAATTGGTGTTGAAGGAACATCTAAAGAATTAAATGAGAGGAAAGAAGATAATTTACAAAAATGTGATAATTCAATAATAAATTGTGATACTCCAAGTACTTCAAAAATAAATGAAGAGAAAAATGAAGAAAAGATTAATTTAGAAAAACGATATAAACAACTTTATATGAATGCTCAATTACATGGACAATTAATTTCTGCTATGAGACAAGTCTTTTTTAAAAAAGAATTTTTAATTATTTTTTAATTTATAGACTTGTAAAGCAGCACTTAAAAAACATGTCGGCGCGTTAAGATTAGTTGCAGCAATGTACGAATGTAAAGTACAAACACCTGAACAAATGTTGGGAAAAGTTCAAGCAGTACTTTCAAATAAAAGGGCAAAAGTTGGAAAAAATAAATTTAATTTTGATTAATTTTTTTAATTTTAAAGGTTTATAGTGAAGAAATTAATGAAATTAGTGGACTTTTTGAAATTAGTGCTCATTTACCGGTTATAGAAAGTTTTTCGTTTTGTGATCAATTACGTAAAAGAAGTAGTGGAAAAGCCTCAGCACAATTAGAATTTTCTGGGTGGCAATTAATTGATGAAGATCCATTTTGGGAGCCGAGTACGGAGGAAGAGGTAGAGAAAATTAATTTTTAGAAATTACAAAGGTCCTATGAACAGAATTTTTATGGATATTTTTCTAAAACGATGGGGGAGATTTTTTGTTAAATTTTTAAATTTAAAGATGGAAGAATTTGGTCGCCCTAGTGTGCAAATACAAAATCAAGCAAGACAATATATGGACGCTGTGCGCAGAAGAAAAGGTCTTCCAACGGAAGATGTAATTGTTGTTTGTGCAGAAAAACAAAGAAATTTAAAAAGAAATAAATAAATATTTTTTTCAGATTTTTATTGTTGTTGTTAAATTGAGAAAAATAAATAAAATTAATGCAAAAATAATTTAGCAATTACTTCTTTCATTGTCATTCGTTTACAACTACTTACATTATCATTTTTTGATGAATTAATACAGGCATAACCATATGGACAACATGTACGATTAGAACAACAATTAGCCTTAAAAAATAAATACCGCTTTAATATATATTAGGGAAGCCCTCTAATGCACTCGCATATCATTTTCCTTCATATTTCAGCTCAATCCAGTCCCGAGAGCATGTCCTATCCTTATATGATTCCCATTCACATATTACTTTCACTATATGTATACCAACTATTACATTCGGTCCCCAAGGTGGTGTGTTAGGGAGATTCGACTGTTCCAATCTTTCTTTTGGAGAGAAATCACAAATATAAGAATTTATTTTTTCAATCCTTACCTTTTTCTCAGGGCAACAATCATAACCAACTAGCTCGTTATTTTCATAACGTGGACAGCAAGTAGTAGTATCTTTTCGTGAAGTAATGTCACCTCGCGGAACGCATTTTGAACGATCCGGGCATGATGGTAGTGATGGAAAAAGTGAAGGATACTGAAAAATAAATTCTTAAATTTTTAATTTTTTCCCGTCGAGACCTCATAATGTTCTGATGTAGAAATAGGTTCTACAACTTCTTTCTCCTCTTGACTTTCATAATTTTCAATAGAAATACATTTATTATCATTTGTACATTCAAATCCTTTAGGGCAACATTTACGTGAATATCTACAACAATTTCCATCTTTAAAAGGGCAACAACCCAATTCTCTTTCATAAACTGTACCAATTTCATCATCATAGTATGGATAAGAACAACTTTAAAGACAAATAACAGATCATTTCTAGGGCAATTTTCTAACCATTTAGTAGAAACTGGACAGAATTTTTGTGCTCTTGCATGTCTTGTTATTGCGTCTATAAACTGAAGTCCACATAAACGTACAGCTGGTTCCATTGATTCCGCCTTAATTTTTCTTTCCGAAGGAACATCCTTTTTATGTTGAATAGAAAATGGCTAAATAAATAAATGAGAGAGAATTTTTTTAGAATTTTTTATTTTTACCGGTAATTTTCTAATTTCAGTTTCCCTTAAAATTGGAGGGATTAAACATCTAGCTTCACTTATATCACATTCTGTTCCATGTGGGCAACAATGTAAATGATCGGAACAACAAACAGCCTTCTCTGCTGGACAACAGCCGTACTTTAAAAATTAAATTTTGTAAAAAAATAATTCTTGGCTTTTAAATTGCCTGAACTTTCCAAAATTGTTTTTTACTTCCAATAGGGCAACAAGTATGGTGTGCCGGACATGAATGTTTTCCATCTGGACAGATTACTTCGTACTAAATATAAAATTATCTTTTAGTAGAGATGACAATTCTTCCTGTATTAATTGCCCTCCCTCAAATAATTACCCCGTTTCTATTAATTCCTCCCTTCAGTGGAAGGTTGAAACAATAATTACCCAGGGTAATTATTAAAGGATATATGGTAAGGGTAATAAATTCATCGTCTCGGCTATCTCAACTAGTAAAGCATATGTAAAGGCTAACATAATCCCAAGCCTAGAAAACCCTGGTAGCAAGATCGAAATGCAGATATACAGCAAAGTCTGCCCTTTGTTTCCAAACTTTTGTTAAACCCTTACCATTTTTGTTGAGGGAACTTTACGACTTAATGGTTGAGATGTAATAATTCCGCCTTCATTTGTGTGCTGAAAATTATTTTTTGAAAAATAAAAAAAATTATTTTAAACAAACCAAACATAATTGACGTTCAACATCACATTTATTATTTTCTGGGCAACAATGTACGTGATCAGAACAACAAACAGCTTTAGGTAAAGGACAACAGCTTTTAAATTTTTTAAAAATATTTTTAGTAATTAAAAAATAATTTACCCAAAATCCCCACTATCTAAAGTACAACAAGTTGTCCCTCCTGGGCCCTATTTCAATTGTCCACAGATTCTGCGGTCTGCGTTCTGTGCACAGACCACAGAACCACAGAAATTCTGTTTCAATTATTCCACGGATTCTGCGGAAAAAGGAGTCCGCAGATTCTGTGGAAACATGCACAGATTCTGTGGAAACATCCACAGATTCTGCAAAACATCCAAAAACATGCAAAAACCACAGAATTCTATTTCAATTATTTTTCTGTGCACAGAAAAAAATCCACAGATCTGTGGCTTTTTTAGTCGATTCTGTGCATTTCTGTTTCAATTATTTCTGTGGTCTGCGGAAAATACACAGAATTCATTAAAAAATCCACCCTAAAATTTTTTCTGCGAATTTTCTGTGGAAAAACTTTAAAAATTTTTTTCTAGGCCTAGGCTTAACCAAATTTTAAAATTTTTAGATAACATTGAAGCTTGATTCATTCTCTATTTTTTGATATAAAAATTATAATTTTATTACTTAAAATTATTGCTTAAAATTAATTTTGAAAAAGGTACATCATTTTTTGTAATATTTTTTACTAAAATAAAAAAATTTAAGGAAAATGTTCTTCGATTTTGAAATATTTTACGATGGAGAAGACGAGCAAACGATTAAGCAGAACAAAATTTATAGGCCTAGAAAATATTTTGAAGAAGAAAATTTTAGAGAAAGATTCAGGCTTGATAGAGAACAATTTGAAGATTTTTTAAGTCAAATTTCAGCTTCATTAAAGCCAATTAATTCAACAAATCACGCAATGTCAGCTAAAGATAAACTTTTAACTGCACTTAGATTTTATGCAACTGGAAGTATATATGCTGTTATTGGTGATTCACATGGACCATCCAAATCATCAGTATGTAGATCCATAAGACAAGTTACAAGAGCAATAAATTTATACATGTTTCAAAGAAATGTTGGATATCCTGACAATTTTGGTAGTAAATTTAATAGTTTGCAAATTATTTAAAATTTAGCCAATACAACAACTGGTTTTTATGAAAAAGGAAAAATACCATCAATTTTTGGTTGTATAGATGGAACATTAATAAAAATATTAGCCCCTTCAAAATATGAGGAACAGTTTGTGGATCGTAAGAATGAACATTCTATTAACGTAATGCTTGTTTGTGGCCCAACTTTGAAATTTTATGATGCATCCGTTCGGTGGCCCGGGTCTACTCATGATTCCAGAGTTTTTAAAAACTCTCGCCTTTTCGAAAGATTATCAAGTGGTTGGAGGCCTTTTCATGGAGCATTTCTGTTAGGGGATTCTGGTATTTTAATTCTAAATGAGATATTAATATCCCTTTTTATTTTTAGGTTACCCCCTTCGTCAAATACCAATTGAAGAAACTCAAGATGATTTAGAAGGAAGAGAAAAAGGACTTGAAAAATTGAATCAAATTGTCGCAATATTTAATTAAGTTTTTCAAAAAATCAAAAAACAAACAAAATTTTGAAAAATCGAATAAATTTTGATAAATAAATTAAAGTTTAAAATATGTAGGCTCATCATAAATATTTGAAGGTTTTGATTTTTCTTCCAATTGAGCAATTTCAAGTTGAAGTTTTCTCTCCTTCAATTTTGCAACACGAGTCAAAACTTCCAAATATTCTTCTTTTTTCTTTTTATAAGTGTCAGTCTCATCTAAATTTAAAAGTTGAGAATATATAATTTTAGAATTTGTTTACCTTCAAACATTGCCTTTCTTTTGATGGATAATTTTGGAGTCAAAGTTGAAATATCATCAATAATTAAATCTTCATTTTCATCTTTTTTTTTATTATAAAACTCAAATTCATCAGTATTACTGCAATTGGCATCAGGTATTGTTAATCCAGCAACCACAGGAGAATCGACTCCAAGAATATCACCCATTATCATATCTAATTCATTTAAGCGAGTTTCACCACCGCTGCCAGTTGCTTTGTTTCTGTCAATTTTTGTCTAAAATATATATTTAAAAGATTTATTAAAGATAACAGCAAACTTTATACTCCTTAACAAGAGACGGCCATTTTGTGCCGCTCAGCCATTTGGCTTCGCGCCCTTTAGTCCACTCAGCACCCTTTGATTCACAAATTCTGAAAATTTTTTCCCAAGCATTCCTTTTTTCCTCATAAGTAATCTTGGTTGAAAATTTGCTAGATATTGTGGAGTAATTTTCTTTAATTAATAACAGCAATTCCTTCTTTTCTTGATTTTTTTTATCAGTCATTTCTAAAATTTATTTTAAAAATTAAATTAAAGATAAATAAAGGCTAATATAAACTGTTATTTTCAAAAACGCGGAAATAAAAAATTTGAATTTAGAAGGAAAAATACACAGAACCACAGAAAAATAATTGAAATAGAAATTCTGTGGATCAGTGGAAAAAATCCACAGATTTTTATATTTTCCACAGAAATTTTCATCCACAGAATCTGCGGAATGTTTCCACAGAATCAGTAGATGTTTCCGCAGAATCTGCGGGCACCACAGATTCTGTGCACACAGAATTTAATTGAAACAGAATTTCCACAGAATCTGTGTTCTGTGCACAGAATGCAGAATCTGCGGACAATTGAAATAGGCCCCTGGACATTTTGATCGAAAATCTGGACAGATAACTTCTTTATCAGCTTTAACAAACCAAAATAAAATAAATACTAAATAAAGAAATTTCATTTTTTTAAAAACTTTCTATTAAAAAAATTTAAAAAATTATTTTTAAAATTCCAAGGAGTTATGTTGAGAAACTGGAAAAGGTTTTATACAGAGACTGGGAACGGGCGGCAAATGATAAAATAACAGTTAGGGAAATATGTTTATTGTTGTGAGAAACACAATTTGAGCAAAAAGGAAGAACTATTTGAAAAAATATATTTAAAAGTTTGAATTATGGACAAATAAATGAAAGGATGGTTTAATCGTCTCCTTTTTGATCTTGAAGACTTTTCTTGTAAATATTAAGAATTATTGAAGCAAATATTACTTAACTAATTAATCATTTTTAGGGGCATTGTAAATACACAAACATTATTTTAATGTAAATAAATATTTTTAATATGACCATTTATTTAAATATATTCCTTATCTCTTAATTTATATATAATTTCCTTTATTTTATCGGTAAATTAAGAGAAATGTTAATTTTGATAAACCTAAAAAATCAAAAACTGTAATTAATTTATGTCTACATATTTTTTTATTTTTCACAAAATTATTTTTTACAAATTACATAAAATCAATTTCCTTTCATTCATTCTTTATCTACTTTTTAAGCATATAAATGGGGAGCTTTAATTACAATAAACACAACACAACTAAGCAAAAACATTGTAAATGTTAGAAAACCTTTAAATAAAGGAATAAATATTTATTAAAATAATTTTATTTTACAAATTCTGTCAACAACCATTGCTGCAAACATCCAATCTTCGTGAATTTCGTTCATAAATTCCTGCAAAAAAAATTAATTTTGAGGGGAATATAAATATTTCCGGAAAATTAATATTTCTTCCGGAAAGGTTTAATTTAAAGAATGTGGAAGGAAGAGTCAAAAAGAGACAGGAATCGCGAGAAAAGGGTAGGAAGTAGAGTTGCACCCCGACCCCGAACCCCGACCCCCGTTCCCGAAAGATTTTTCCAAAATTTCCCCGACCCGAACCCCGCCCCGAAAAAAATGAAAACCCCGTCCCCCGACCCGAAAAAGTTTCGGGGTTTTCGGGGTATACACCCCTAAAAACGTCATTTTTAAGAAGAATTTAAAGAGAAAAATTTAGAAACTTCCTCCCAATTTGCTTTGCCTTTATTATTTTGTAAAAAAATTGAATGAAATATCAATATTGTATTTCCTTATTAACTAACCGACTTGTGGTTGAGTGGTTTAGTTGTTGGTTTTGTCTATATTTCTATTCATATACGGTAGGGTTCTGATCCAAATAAGGAGAACCCGTTTGTTTTGTTATCTTTTACAAAAACAAGCGTTAAATTTTAATTTTAAAAGGTTAATTCTATTTTTAAATATTATCAACCATAAATTTTCAGTTTAGTCTAAAAATTCTAAAATTTTCGTCTGTGGCTCTAAAAAAGGAAGATTCTAGCTTCTTTGCCTTCAAAAATTCTCACAATTTTCGTCTGCGGCGCTGAAAAGGAAGAATCTCTCAACTCCTCCCTATTCCTTCAATATTCTTCTAAATTACTGGTATCCCTTGAACCACCCTTAATCCTTCGAAACCCTTATATCAACAGATATGTCAGTTAATCTCTTCAAATCTTCCATAATCCGCCCAAATTTATTTATTATCCCAGATAATTATCTCCCCAGATTAAAAACTAATAAGAGATCCGTAATACTTCAATATACTTCTAAATCAATGATATCCCTTGAGACCGACAAAGATCACTCCAGATCCTCTTGCATCCCTAGATATACTATTTAATCCCTAAAATCCCACTTAATCCCTTCAGATCCGCTTATATCCCCAGATAAACTCTTTAATCCCTTCAAATCCAATTTAATGTCTCAATATCCTACTTAATTTTTGAAAAAATTAACGAAAATATGCCAAAATCTAATTATTTTTTAACATTTTTTTCTCTAAAATTTTTTTTTACAAAAACCCCGTACCCCGACCCGAACCCCGACCATATTTTGGTCCCCCGACCCGTACCCCGCCCCGAAACAATTAGAAAACCCCGTACCCCGACATACCCGCCCCCGAGCGTTCGGGGTGCAACCCTAGTAGGAAGGCAGGAACGCAAAATGTGTCCATTCATGTTTTAATTTTCCTATATTTTAAAAGGTTTTTTAGTAAATTCCGGGAAGTTTTAAATTAAAATATATATTTTAAAATTTCTTTAAAAAATGTATATTTACATAAAAACAATCTAAAAAAATTAAATTTACTTCTTTCTGTATTTTTGCACATAAAAAGCGAACATGCCCAAGTAAAGTGTTGAATTGCTCTTCACTCAAGTGAATTAATTTATTTTTAATTCCCTGTTTTGGAGAAGTTTTCTTTTCATCAAAGGATTTAAATTGCTTTTTTTGAGGAAAATTAATATAAAAAATATTTATTTAAATTACTTTGTCAGTAAAAATAGGTGAGGGTGGCTCTATTGTTAAAATTGTATTGTTTGTATTTGAATGATTAAAACAATGACCGAGAGCAGAAAACTTTAAAAAATTTAAATATTTAATAAAAAAGCTTTCAATCTCCTTCCCTCTCCAAACATCCCCTCTACCCATTTGCTTCCCTCTTCTACTAATATCCCCCCTCATTCTTCCCCTTCAATCACCCAACTCTTTACTTGTAAAGAATCTGAAGAATTTGTTTGATTATAAGATAATTTTCTATTTTGTTGGGGAAGTAAAAGAGAATTTGTTTTTGTTTGTTGTTGTTGATTTGCTGCTGCCATTCTTTTACAGAAACGACGCTGATTTCCTACAAGTTTTTAATTAATTTAAAGAGAGAATTAAATATATCCGGAAAGGTTTATTTTACTTCCGGAAAATGTTACTTATATTCTCTGTACATTTTTTCCGGAAACTTGAATATATTCCGGAAAGTTTTATATTAAATTTAGAGTTTAATAGTGTGTATATATTTCCGGAAAATAGAAGTATATATTCTCTAATAAAGTTTTATATATTTCCGGAAACAAAAATATATTCTCACTACTGTTATATATTCCGTAAAGTACTACAAACAATTATTTACTTGTAGGAAAGGGAGAGGAATGTTCTTCAATCCGCAAAAGAGTTGTTCCAACACAACTTGTCTTTCTTTGTTGATTTTCTTCTTTCCTTTCTTCACATTCTTTATAACAATAACCATTTAATTGTTGCCAATGATTTGGAGGGGTAAATAATTTATTATCAAATTCAAAATTATTTTTATTTTGATTTAAATATATATTGTTTAAATTTGTTGGTTTATTGAATGCTGATTGACTTTAAAAATTAAAAAAAATTATTCTTCTTTTTAATAGTTAGGTAAAGAATATTCTAGAAATATGTAACACGGTTTCTCTCTCTTCCGTTACCGCTTATAGGCTAATAAATAAGTAACGCTGTTAGCAGAATCTATTAAAGAGTTTCCGGGATACTTTGGGAAAGGTTTGTATAAAATGGAAGCTACACGCAACGTCACTCACTCGAACTCCGTTCGAGCTCGAGGCTTATACAAGTGAGAGATAAAGTAATTTTGAAGAATTGTTTAAATAAATTAGCGGATTTATACATCCAACTTATTTACCCTCTACCCTTTCCCTATCAATTTCTCTCATTTGAGAGACTCCTCAGCCCAAAGGGGTTCGACTTTATTTTAAGTATTTACCTTTCATTATTATTAATTTCCCCAACAATATCTTTTAATAATTTTTCTCCAGTTCCATCAGAAAGTTTAACACGAGGGGGTCTTTGCATACAAAGCAACCAGGGAAGCCATTCAAGTAAAATTATTCTCATCTTTTTTTGAATAAAAATTGTTAAAAAATTAAACAAAAAAATTATTACAAAGGAAGGCATAGGAAAGTAAGAATCAGCTTTTCTGTGGTGAAAATTGAGGACTATAACTGTACAAATAACAGAAGCACCAACTTCGAACATTACACAAGTGAAGAATACTTCTAGAATTTAAGAAGAGAATGTCCTGGATATTTTAAGTTTAGGAACCAATTAAGGGTAAAGTGTCAGAAGTTTGCGGCATAGTCTCAGCTACCATCAACATAAAAACACATAAAGACATAAATATAGTTACACAGAGATTTAGTTTTTCTCCAGAATCTGGTGGTAAAGAAAAACCGAGAAGAGCTAGAGAAGAAATTAGAAGAGAAGGCAAAACTAGATTAACGCCTGAAATTTATATGTATGATTTACGAGTATAAATAAGCTCGAATAAATTAAATAATTTGGCCGTCTGGACATTTTGTAAATGAATTAAGTTTAGGTTATTCGTTATCTTACCCCCAATAAACATTTTGTCCAATCCGTTTGTATTCCTAAGTAACGAGCATGGAATTAGAGAAACGATAAATAAAGAGAGAGTGTGTAAACTTATTATCTGCTCTTTGTCTTTTACTTTACTTTTTCCGCTTATTTTATATCACGTCTAAAATTTATAATTGATTTCTACTTTTATTTTTGTCTTTTGTTGGAGGCTTTGGTTTTAATTACCCAAGTTGAGGTAAATATCAACTTCACCCTCGAAAGAGTGGTTAGTACTTGGGATAAATTTTGGAATTGTTTGGCCTTGGCCGAGCTTAAAATTTCTTTTTTAGTTTATTTCTTGTTTCTATTCCAATCCGTCGATAAGTCGAAACTTCGTTTCTTCAAGTCTACAGCACACCGAATTTGGCACAACCGACACCAATACTACCGCAGATTAACAAATCACTTTGGGTTTAAAAAGATTTTAATCGATTTTGTTTAAATCAAAATTGCAAATTTTCAGGATTCAAAAGCTGTAACATAAATAAAACATCTTTCTACATACATATGTTTCGAGGGTGAAGTTGATATTTACATACATATGTAGAAAGATGTTTTATTTATGTTACAGCTTTTGAATCCTGAAAATTTGCAATTTTGATTTAAACAAAATCGATTAAAAATCTTTTTAAACCCAAAGTGATTTGTTAATCTGCGGTAGTATTGGTGTCGGTTGTGCCAAATTCGGTGTGCTGTAGACTTGAAGAAACGAAGTTTCGACTTATCGACGGATTGGAATAGAAACAAGAAATAAACTAAAAAAGAAATTTTAAGCTCGGCCAAGGCCAAACAATTCCAAAATTTATCCCAAGTACTAACCACTCTTTCGAGGGTGAAGTTGATATTTACCTCAACTTGGGTAATTAAAACCAAAGCCTCCAACAAAAGACAAAAATAAAAGTAGAAATCAATTATAAATTTTAGACGTGATATAAAATAAGCGGAAAAAGTAAAGTAAAAGACAAAGAGCAGATAATAAGTTTACACACTCTCTCTTTATTTATCGTTTCTCTAATTCCATGCTCGTTACTTAGGAATACAAACGGATTGGACAAAATGTTTATTGGGGGTAAGATAACGAATAACCTAAACTTAATTCATTTACAAAATGTCCAGACGGCCAAATTATTTAATTTTGTCGTTCGGCCAAAAAAAACGATTTAAATTCTTCATTAATTTTAAAAATAAAAGCTACCATAATAAAGGGTTCGCCTTCTAACAGAAATAAGAAAAGTAACATCAACATAAGGTTCTGGACAACAATCATAAACTAATCGGTTGCGAACTGATTGGACACCTTTTATTTTAAAAAAAGAGTTTATTTTTTTATTTTTCCCTTTACTTAATAAATTCCATTCTCCATTTGGAGTGTATGGATCTAAAGAAACAGAATCATTATATAAATCAGTAAAAAATCCAGAATAAGTCCAAGAACCAAATTTCATTGCACATGTTTGGTCATCAAAGGGGAATGATGTTACCTAAATGAGAGGGTACTTATTTAGTTTCCCACCCCCAGTCAGTTTTTCCGAAAATTATGTAAAAATGGTCAGTCTGAACAACAATTGTAGAACCCATCGAGCTGAGTCGAATGACACCAAAATCAACAAAATCCGCCTTGATTTGACAAAGTTATGACATAAATCGTCGACTCCGGTAGGTCTTAATAATGTCATAACTTTGTCAAATCTTGTCCGATTTCGTTGATTTTGGTGTCATTCGACGCAGCTCGATGGGTTCTACAATTGTTGTTCAGACTGACCATTTTTACATAATTTTCGGAAAGACTGACTGGGGGTGGGAAACTAAATAAGTACCAATGAGAGAGAGATTTTAAGGGGGAATTAATTATTTGGAGGTCGGGGGTACTATAACTAGAGATCGGTCTGGATCCAGACCTTGACTTTTTCTGGATCCAGAGTCCAGATCAAGGCATTTTTCTGCGTTCTTCGATTTTTCCTTGAACTTGATTTCTTCTTTGACTCAAGGACCTTGATCTGGTCAAGGTACCCAACCAAAATCGAGGTTAAGGCTTTTTAGAATTTCCGATCTCTACTATAATGTCTTTCATCTTCTTTTAGTCTATAAAATTTATTTCCCCTCAAAAGTTTTTCAATTAAAAATTACATCAATTCTGCATGAAGATCTAATAATTGCTGGAGGAATCCAAGTAACAGACCCATTATATTTAACAATAGCATTTACTGGCCATAAAGTATCAAAACGTTGATCAACAGAATTGTATAAAAGAACATCGGGTTTCCAAATAGAGGTTATTGGCAGTCTAACTTCTTTAATATCCCCATATTCTGCTGGATCCCAGGTCAGAAAAATATCTTCCCAACTCATGCGTACCCAAATATTTGTTTGCATTATTTGGGCTTTCTCGTCCTTTTTTTAGAAAATTTTTGAAGATAAAAAAGAAATTATTTATTTACAATATCTATAATAGCCTGTAAATCCATCCCTAAATGAACTATTATAGGTGCACTTTCATTTTTTACAGGCCTGGCCAAAACATTATAGCCATGAGTGAGTCTATCGTAAAGGAGACGTTCGTGTTCACCTGCCCAAACGGCTGCTGAAAAAATTGATTTTAAAAATAAATTTATAATGTAAAAATTAACTGCAAAAATTAGATAATTTGCGAAACAAAACAAAATACTTTAGGGAAGGATTTGCTCACTGTTCTATACAATAACAAAGAAATTAAGGAATAAGGTGAAAGGTGAAAGGTTAAGAGATAGTGCAGAAGGGGAAATTCCGGAAATTCTCTTCCAGAAACATACAATAAAACTTGTATTGCAATGATATCTACGCACTAATAGAACGACACCTAAAAGCGAAAATGTTTTTTGCACATTTCACAAAATGTAGAAGTTCCGAATTATAGAATGGATCATTGTAATATTTAAAGTTTTACATTAAAGGGAATATAAAAACAAAGATTTAATTAAACAATTAGTGAAAGGATAAAATACAAAAAGTGCTGAAAATTCCATTCGTTTTAATCACCACTTTTTCCAATACTTCTTCCATCCCATGAATGTTTATTACTTTCTTCTAACCATTTAATATTATCTTCATTTTCTTTATTTTCCTATATTAAATTTTAATTAAAAATTGTTAAAAATTAAAAGAAAAAAAACATTTAAATTTCCACCAACATTAGACCAATGCTGTTTAGAATTTCCAGCAATAACTCCAAAAGGTTCTCCATCATCCATATTTGTTTTGTGAAATACACTTGCATGATTATCCCTCCCAAGCATTGCATGTTTACCCAAAGCTGTTGCCCCCGTAGAGCCGAGAACAAGTAAAGAAAGTGGTCGACAGGTAGTGACCACAAAAAGGACTTTTTTTGAAAATAAATGTTATTTTAAATAAAAGAGAGAGGAAGAGAACAGTGAGTATTAATTACTTAATTACCCCTTCAAAAACTAAAATATAATGTCAATAAACAAACCCTTAAAAATCAAAAAATGATTATCTCCTGTCAAAGCTGTCAACATTAAAAGTAAAGAAGGTAAAGAAAATTTTGGAGCACGTAAAGAATGTTGTGAATATTTTGTTGAGAATATTGCAAACATTAATTAATATAAAATTGTTTGAAGAAATTTATGAGAAAATAATTTAATATTAATTTAACAAAAAATTATTTTAAAATTTGCAAAATTTCAAAGGGCTCAGTAAATTATAATTTAAAAAAGTCAAAAATACAAAAATTTTTAATAAAAAAATTTAGAAAGAAATCTAAGTACATCCTTATAAGAGGGGAAGAAACATTTTTAAAATCCTTTCTCTCTTCCCAAAAACACCCCCACAAATTTTCTTCAAGTGGTTGAGAATTATATTTACTGATACTTAAAATATCATCAAAAAGTGCCAATTAAATTTATATATCCAAGAGATGATACTAAAGGGAAATGGAAAAAAAAATTAATTTTTATAAAAACAATTCTTTAAATTTTGCAACTAAATTTTTAATTTTTTTTCTTATCCCATAAATATTTATTTTCCTTTCCCTTTATTTTTAAAAATTTTTCGGTCTTTTTTTTTATTTTAAAATATAAATTCCCACACATTTTTCAATATTATGTACTTATTTATTTATATTTTTGGAAGACTATACTACTCACATTACATAAATTATTAGCTACATTTTTAGCTTAAAAATAAAGAAAATAACTAAAAAAGAGAGAGAAGTGTTTTGATGTTTTTAGGCAAATAGCGCGGAAATTAAAAATATATATATTTGTTTTTAGTTAATTAATTATTTAAAATATTTTTAAAGAAAATAATTTTAAAAGATTTAAGAAGGAAAACGAAGTTAAAATACAAAAACTAAAATAAATTAGAAAAAATATTTTCATAAAAATTTGAAAAACTTGACAAAATTCAATCAAAAAATTAAAAAATAATTTTTAAGTAAATCTTAAAAATTTATAAAGTAAATTATAATTGATTAAATAAGGAAGAAATTAAACTATAAAAATTAGGGTTGCCGTTTTCGAACCGAGCCGACGTTCGAGTAATTTTTTCGGCCCCATTTTTCAGACCGGACTGGGTCGGCAACAGGGCTGATCGAAATAAAAATATTTTTTATTTCGAATCGAAACGAAATAAAAAAATTCCTATTTCGTTTCGGAGCGAAACGAAACGAAATAAACGAAATAAAATAAAAATTAAAAAAATTTTATTTTTCAGTTCATAAGGGCTTTTAATCATTATTTAAATCATAGATATGCATCTAATGAGCTAGATGCGTGACAAAAGCATAACAGAAACAAGAGTGGACCCTACTAATCTGCCGATATCCACCTTAATCCCCTCAAATCTACATAGATCCACCTTAATCCTCCGATATCCTATTAAACTCCCACGATACTATATTTAAATTCACTTTGGAGTATACCACTTTAGAATCGATCAAGAGAGATATTAAGTGGGATAAAAGAGATATCTTCTATATCCCTTCTATATCCCCTAGTGATGTTCGAGAGTCAAAAAATCCCGAGAGTCGAGAGTCGAGACCGAGACCGAGAATCGACCCCGAGACCGAGACCAAAACGAGAGTCGAGAGTCGAGACCGAGAGTCGAGACCGAGAGATTAAGAGGGATATCACTTGATGTCCCTCCTAATCCCCAAAAATCCCTTGATATACCTCATTATCCCCATAATCGCTTGAATCCCCAAGTCCACAATATATATCCACTGATATTCACATAAATCATTTAAATTCCCTCATATACCTCAATATCCTTCCCAAATCCGACGATATCTCCTTGATCCCTCGATGCCACGTCAAGTCCATTGATATTAAATTTAATCCTTCAGAATCCCCAGTATCTCTCTTAATCTTTTTAATCTTATTAAATTAAAAATTAATAAGATTCCCAGTATTTTTCACCCGAACCCCTGACCTGTGAATTTTTCAAAACCCGGCCTGAAACCTTCCATAAAACCTCTTTTTGCGCCGCAGGCAAAAATTTTGAGAATTTTTGGGGTCCTTAAGTCAGATTTTTTCCATTTTTTGCGCCGCAGGCGAAAATTTTGAAAAATTTGGAAGGCCTTAGTAGAAAAATTCAATTGTAAGAACTACAGGCAAAAATTTTTTGAAGTTTAGATGATCATGAAGCCAGAACTCTTAGATTTCTGCTCCGCCGGCGAAAATCTTGTAAAATTCATGATTAAATTAAAAATTTTAATATTTTTTCACGTGTATAATATATTAAAAAAATAAATTAGCAAATTTATAAGCAAAATCAAAGTTGAAAAACATTTATTTTTGAAAAGGCAAATTTTTTCAGCCTCATTTCCCTCTATGGGTCCGAACCCATATCAATCAAAATATTAATTTATTTATTTATTTATTTATCAGCAAACCACAGGTATTTTAAAATACATTAAAGTGGTGCGTAAAAAAATATATACAAAGCAAAAAATATGTGAAGCAACATGTAAAGCAACAACAAAAAAAAAACATGAAAAAAAAATATATATAAATAGTAAACAAACACTCGAAAACCACGCACGCTAGGGTTTAATGTCCTTAGTATTTTATAGAATACTGTTTAATGAGACTTCTAAATTTTTTCGGATCATTTATTTTAAATGGCTCATTTGGAAGATTATTCCAGTTATTCACCACTCTGTGAAAGAAATTATTTTTTGTTTTATTTGTATATTTTTTTGTCCTAAGAAGTAGAGGCCTGCGAAGGGATCTATTTGATAAATTAAAATATTTTTGTGAATTAAGGGATGTAAAACCTTTTATAATTTTAAAGGCGGTGGACAGATCGGCAACCTTTCTTCTATCTAATAACTTTTCGAGTTTACAAGTATTTAATCTTTCTTCATATGGGACCTTGATTAAACCACATTTTTTGTAAATATTTTTAGTGAATAGTTTTTGGATTTTTTCAATTTTCTCTATTTGATATTTCATCTGTGGATTCCATACTTCAGTTGCGTATTCTAGTTGGGGTCTTATATATGTCTTATATATATTAACGAGGAGATTTAAATTTCTAGATTTAATGATTCTTATTATTTGGGAGCTTTTTAAATATGCGTTTTTTATGATCATATTTATATGATTGTTAAATGATATTTTTGAATCAATTAATATTCCAAGATCACGAATACATTCTGTTTCTTGTACTTTTAATCCATGTATGGTATATTCTCTTTTCATGTTATTTTTACCTAGATATAAAGCAAAGCATTTGCTAGGGGATATTTCTAAACCATTTAATTCTGTCCATTTTTCAAGTATTCTTAAAACATTATTGAGTTGTTCTCTTTCTATGCCGTTTTTATGAGCTATATATAGTTTTACATCGTCTGCGTATAGTTTTACTCCAACATCTTCAGGGATTTCATTAGGAAGATCATTTATAAAAATAAGGAATAAAAGTGGTCCTAAGACACTTCCTTGAGGTACGCCCGAAAATGTTTCATAATTGTGAGATAGTTGGTCACCAATCTTAATCTTAAAAGTCCTATCTGATATGAAGTTTTTAAGAAATGCATAAACTTTTCCGGTTATGCCTGCCTTTTCTAATTTATCTAAAAGAATATTTATTGGTACAGTGTCAAAAGCCTTAGCAAAGTCGATATAAATAATATCTATGTTATATCCATCTTGTATTGCGTTATAAAAATCATCCATGGTAGATAACAACTGTGTGGTTGTGGATCTTGATTTAAGAAATCCAAATTGATTTTTATTAAAGAACTTATTATCTTCTAAGAATTTTGTTAATTGTTGTGCAATAATTCTTTCGAAAATTCTACATAATGTGCATGTTAGCGATATTGGACGATAATTTTTTGGATCTGATTTTTCTCCCTTTTTATATAATGGTATAATAAGCGAGGATTTCCAAATTGATGGAATTTGTCCATTATCAATAATACATCTAAAGATATCTGTGACTAATTTTGCAAGTGGGTCGGCGC